AGATTTCCACATTTTTATGCAATGTTTTTGTTCTACCCACTGAATTAAAGCTGAAAGTCTGCACTTCTGTATGTTTACAGAAGGAAAAATGAAGCTTTAAAAGAAAAAAACACCATACATACAGTACATTGAAGGTGCTTGGTTTTGTTTTGGGACTGCATCTGGCAACCAAGGCATCCTGAAGTGAAACATACTGCCCAGTGTCAGAAAGCTCACCCTCAGTCCAGGTCATGGATCCTCCAACAGGATAATGACCCAAAACATACAGATAAAAGCATCCAAGAATGGCTGAGAAAAAAACATTGGACAATTCTTAAATGGCCCTCCATGAGCCCAGATCGTAAGCCTCTTGAACATCTATGGAAAGATCTGAAAATTGCAATGTGGAGATGACACCCTTATAACCTGAGACAGCTTGAGCAGTTTACTCAGGAAGAGTGGGCCAAACTACCTGTTTGCAAATACAGACGCCACATTGTGAAGTACAGAGATTTGTTGGCAGTGATTGCTGCAAAAGGTGGTGCCACAAAATATTAAATTAAGGGTACCATCTTTTTTGTTGCTACCATTTTCATTTGTTTTATTAGGGAGACTGGGGACGGTTGCAACACTTTTTGCATTCCTCTCATTTACTCAGAGACTGTTTGGACTACACCAGCCAACACTTTTTGCATTCCTCTCATTTACTCAGAGACTGTTTGGACTACACCAGCCAAATTTGTATACTATAAACTTACATCTGTCTGCTAATTACCCATAGTACTTGTAGTTAATTATATTTTACATATCCTGCACAATACTGATTTGAACTGAAGAAGTCAGATGTTGCAACCGTCCCCAACATTGGGGACGGTTGCAACACATATAAGGGACGGTTGCAACATGTTAAACATATATTAAATTTCAATAATTAACCTTTGCTTTTTCTCTGAACTTGCATAGTACTGTGTAAATCTACAATTATACAATAATATTAAAGTAGATTTTTATTCATATTGAAAGTTCTGTATTTTTATGTCACACAGGATTTTTTAAAAATGCATTTATTGTCCAAACATGGATCTGCTTTAAAACATGTAAAAAAATATTGAATACAAAGTGAATTTAAAGTCACCCCAACAATTCTACTGGCTCTCGGGATAAATCTGCCAGTTACTAGAACAATTATAATATAATTTTTACTAATTAACAGTATTTAAACATACATTTATTGTACAATATTGAGAATATCAAATACAACTCAAATAAAGTTGCACAGATATTCCTAAACAGTGGTTAATCACCCCTCATATAAAGTACCCCACATCTATACTGACTAACAGTAGAAATCTGCCAGTTAGAAGAACAATTTTGGGAACTGGCTTCCAGTGAACCTTTCTACAAACAACAAGAACAAAATAATGCAACTCTTTTAGTCAGATTCACAGTTGTGGCATGTGTAAACATCACCTCCAGGTGTGCAGGCTTTATGTGCCCAGGATTTGCACATCCAGCACTGCAGCCACATTTCCCTGGATTTTGAATAACCTTCAAGACACATGATGCAGAAATTATCTTCGTCTTCAGATTCGTATTCTTCTCTGTTTCTCTTTGTTTTCTTTATACTTCTCTGCGTAGTTGTCTTTTTGTTATTCTTTTTTGCTTTCTGT